ATGCAGTACCTCACCCAAATTAACGTGGGAGCGATTAGCGGATTGACTTATAGCTAACCCCTCTCAGCATTTTAGGACACCGGAAACAACATTTTCGTAAAGAGATTTCTTCTTCTTTCCTAGCTTTGCTAAGTAAACTGGCAAATTGCCCGGTGAAGTAACAAACGAGAGTTTCTTTTGAATTTCGTATAATTAGACTCTATGGACCGCGTCCTGGTGTATCAAACATTTCGAAACTGTCGAAAGAGAAGGAAAAACTGCTTCACCCTTCTCCCGCCTCTCATCTACCGTGATTTTTTTAGCGTAGAACCTACAAATACCTATAATTATATTACGAAACTGTTCTCTCCTTCTCTATCGTAACTGCCATATGTTGCATGCAGAAGCTCAGGGCATTGCTACATTTAATATCGTATCTTAATATACCCGACTCGTCGGCTTCGTCTGGCTACTCTCTATGTTTCGATTCCTTCGTTCGGATCGCCGATGGGCGTTCCCTCAGACGGCTGGCTTCCAGCATGAAACGATCCGTATGTCTCTGCTCGGATTCGGACCTAGACCTCAACGTCTCCATAAGATATGCAGGCAAATGTGTCACCCCCACTATGATGATGATGACAACCTGGCTCCTCGAAGACAAATTAGTAACTTTCCGATGAATTTGTTGGCTTTCGTTATCGCCTGTCCTCTATCTTTTCTACTCTGTTTTTGCCTGAGGAACCTTCCGAGGGTTTTAAGTAAACGCTGCCTGACTGCGTTCGTTAACCCTTCTGAATATCGATTGTGTAAAAAACTTATTACTCTTACCTGGGCGGTAGTAAACTCGCTTAGCTTTTCCATATATCTCGAGCTCGACAAAGGGACGTTGAATTTTATGGTTCCTTAAAACATTCCAGTCTACCATACGAGACCTTAGCGATCCCAATTACCTCCTCTATGTGGCTTTTCGTGCATTCTTCAATTTTCGAGCTTGTCAAAGAATACAGGCAGATGCTCATCATCTGCAATCGTTTCGAATGCCAGCTTCTTAGCACCTTCCTGCTCTCGTTTAAACATATATTTCAACTCCTTCCATTGTTCCGTAGTACAGTGGCTACGATCTTAAACCATTATTTTAACCCAATTATCCTCGTTGATACATGGCTGTTTCTCGGCAAATTTGCTACTGAAGCCTGAGTGTTCTGCCAAGTTACATTCCAGAATCAGAAATTAGCATCGGAACTCTACAGCAAAGTAGGAGGACCGTGTATTAAAGAGCTACCAAGGAGGATGAATGGTACTATTAGCTAGAAAATTGATCATCTATTTATGAGCAAGTCTAATAAAAATATAAACAAATACACTTGTAATAAAAATATAAAAAATATTTGCATTTTAAACAGTTTTGATGCCGGTCGCAACGACACTCGCTGGATGTGGGGTGGTGGTAACAGGAAGGTTTCTTGGATCACAAGATAAGACCTCCTCTTTTTTCGCCTAGTTGTTGTTACCATTGCGGATGGAGTAACAGAAACTATCGCTTGCCTCTATCGAAGCTATATAGCATTTAGTGAAAAAAAAAAAACACTAGAACATGATTATTGTACTTATGTGTGTGCTTCTAAAGCAGTTGAAAGTAATCTTAGAGTACGTATATTTTTAAATACATGATTTTAAATCTAACACAACTTTTGGTTACAAGTTCACATTAACTTGGGTTTGCTATATTTCTCAGTGGTACATTTGAAACGTTTGACAAATTCAAGGTGAGCCTTAGCTCTCTTCGTTATAACTGCACAACATGGAACCACCGCCTATATCTGCTTCTTAAACTTGAACAGAAGCTTATACTGTAGACGATTATTCTGTTAACTTAAAATCATGATATCTACATATTTGCACGGATAACCGATTTATAGTAATAACAGGTCTTAACTTTTATTTCTTCGGGAGGCTTCTTCTTGCATCGGAAGGCCTTTGTCGACTGAGATCACTCACTCATCGCATCGATATTTATAATGATAGCTTTGGCTGTGATGATGTCCCCGACGGTTTTTCTGATTAGATCTTTTCGCGTTTCTGCATTGTGTCTTTCGCTATGTTCATATCCGAATGCGAACATAGAAAGAGACGCCTTTTTTATACGTATGCCTCAGTTCAATTTGTTTCATAACTAAGTTGTGTGTTTACGTAATTTTGGAGCACGTGTAGTGCCTGGTGGGACTGACTCTTCTACGCAACTCCAGCAGCAGAGTAGAGATGAAGCTCTGTCTGGACAATCGCTAAAGAAGACAATTCGAAAATATCTACACTTATTGTTTTGCCCCCGTTTTGCTCCGGCTCCCCTTTCGCTTGAACTCCGTAAATAATTTCGCATCTAGCCGGTTAAATATGAAAACCGGTTTTGACGAATCAACTAATTGCTTCGATGGCCGGCCTTCGGAGCTTCAGAGCTGAATCTATTGACTGATCCGCCATAGAGCTCGTACTATTGAATGATTTCCGCTACGTGTCCCCATAATTCCGTTGGTATTCGAAGTTGGATTCGCAACTATCGTGGCAATGCTTAGTTTCAATGCGGCGTGGCGGAAAATTACTAACAGTAACAGAATACGTTTGGCCATCTGGGCGTCTTGGGTTACTTGAGTCGACTTGTCGTGGACGTTTGCGGAGCATTTCAAGCTGTTCAAGTCTCATTAGACGAGCCTCACCGCATGACGAACGTAAACCTCAGTCATTATATTCCTTCTCTAGGGCACGTGCCCTATAGGAAAGTGTTAGCGGTTAGTAAAGGTGGCAATTGAGGCAATGTATCTACTGTCTACTAACTAACTTAGCTTAATAAAATAGTCTATTAACGTGTCTGTCCAAAAAGCCGCAAATATATTTCGGTTTCCATGAAGAAAAAGATTATCGTTCTCTTTAAATCATAGGTTCTAAAAGTCCCTGTATAATATAGACGAGAGAATTTATAGAGAAAAAGCATACAAAACAGTATTAACAACATCATAAATTCGACTATGATAGAATGCGTGCATTTGTCGTGCAATGTATTGGGTAGATGTTTTTTACTTTAATGTTTCTAGTTACAGATGTGTTTCTAATTTTGTCTCACGTTCCACCACACCACGTTCCAATGAAATTCTTATAGATAAATTGATCGGTATTCGATCACTTAACTTCGTTTATAAATTTTGCCTACATCCATGCACTGCATGTCGACATGATGGAATTAAGTTACCACGTACATCAGGCACATTTTCTTGCTTATATTCAATATATCATTTTACAGTCCGAGTTACGATTAAGTTATGATGGGTACTAATAAATGTACGGCTATATATTCGATGAAAAACCGCATTCGTAAGTTGTCATGGTAAAACTCGAAAAATACATTTTAAATAGAAAACTTGAACTGAATAAATACTAATGCCGAATTCCTCTGTCTTTCTTTCAGTATTAGTATGTATCTAATTATTTATTTGTTTGTTTATTAAGGTTACAGAGCATATTTGGATAGCGGTATTTTACAAGTACATGGATGGCACGTTGACACTGAACACGCTCTTTCACGCAGTCTGTCAGACCGTGAACCACGGAAAACAGCTAGCGAGGTTTGGTGTAGGGACGTTAGGTAGACACTTGTATTTACCGGTTGTACCACCACAAAGGCAATTTCCAAATCTGAATTACGATGTCGATCGTGTATAAAACTATGACTCATTGGAAACGGACGAATAGAAAACGATGAGGAATTATAAATTCCCTTTGTTTAAGCCCTATAGCTAGCTTAATATCACAGTTCTCCTGTTCAGGAGGCATACTTCGCCACACTCTGGAGGACACGTAACCTCCAATTTACGCATGGCTCGCATGACCCCTTTACTATAAAATATATCGCCGGGATAACATCAATATGAGAGGCACACATTCCGGAAATATTGCTATTCTTCGCGCGTATTTGATGCATCCGGAATTGTTCATCGCCACCGATATATTATAGTTCGATGGCCGCGAGGTATGTCTTGCTACAGAGAAAAAATGAACCGCGGATTCGATCTGAATGCCGAAATCAGATTTGTGATAACTGAAGTATAGGCTTGCATCCGATAAATGAAAATAGTCTCTTGAGAAAAATTTCGCGCATTTCTTTCTTCGGAAGTAACTGGTTTATGAATTTTATGTCTAAAGAAAGTAAGGATATACCAGAGATAACGAACGAAAAATTTCATCGTCAACTCAGACGGCAGTGATGCTTCTTTAACGTAAGAGATATTAGAATAAAGTACAGTTTATAAGGAGTAACTAGATGTACAATAACTTCGTTAAGAGTGCCTAGTGCTGCTAGGGTACGTTAATCTAACTGCACGCGTTCGGAATCTATAAAGACTTTGAAAGTTCCCTTAATTGTTTGCCTTTTTTTTCATCTCAAAGTTTATCTCAGCTAGCACAAGTACAATTATAGCCTTGTTTTTCGTTTGCTAAGTTTGTTTAACACAAATATAAAACCTTCTAAAAGCCTCAGGTCGTGACAAGGCCAATACGTTTATGCACTTATAGCAACATTGATCCGACCGTCTTCGGTAGTTACGTACTAGCATTTGCTACGGATGATAACGGAAACCGAACGTAGCCTAGCGTAGTGTAGTTCGGAAGCAAAAAATGGGCTCCACCCTGGTGCAGATTCTTTCGTATACCCGGTAGACAATTACTCAACCTGAACGTCTGTTCGAGGTCACTAAGCACTCAACCAGCATTACTCTTGAAGATTGTTACATACAATGTGTATATTCAGCACCGTGCTGAAATTCCAGACTTAGCTTGAACATTCTGTTTACTCCCTTTCCATCAGCTGCATTTTAATAAAAGACACTGCGCCCGCCTTGCTTTGGTAGAGCTGCCGTTACATCGCCTATCCGTTGACATAACATCGGGATCCGTTACATCGACACATTTTCTCCAAAAATCATCCTCAATTCAAGGTAAATAACGAAGTATCACTTGTGTTTAGCTTCCTACAATTGAAACTGATCCAAAAAGGCCATTCGATCGACTTTTAGTTAGGGCTCAATTTGATTTCAGTGCGCCTCACCTACGATCAAGATCTCAGTAAGCTAAGGAGCACTTTACCCTATTTCAATGTGCGATTTATGTTGGCACCTGCAAGCCGTCTCGGCAACATAGTACATGAAGGTATTGAAATTACGCTGTAGAGCGACTAGCTGTGCTAAAATGCCCTTCGTATTTTTGGAATTCCTGTTGCCAGCAGGCACGGACAGATTCCGCACAGGCGCTGTTAGAAAAAGCAAGCAATCCTGTCACACGCATAGCCATACGCATAAACTTAGATGTGTTAAGTAGTAGATTAATTTTAAATTAAAATTCATATACCACAATGACGTGATAGCATCAACACCCCCCAATGGTCCGCTTTTATCGATAGCCATAATTCTACGAAGTTGGAAATTGATCGTAAATAGCTCTGCATTCGCTTCGCCGAGTTCGACAGGAAGTGTAAGGACGAAATAGGTTCTAGGTTCCCTTTTTGGCTCTGCAACGTTTAATTTTAATGTCAAGATATCTAATATGGCGGCATGGTATAATTATTCATATTCTGTAAGCCATTCTAATTGAGATCAACCTTGTTCATCGACAGCAATTGCATATTTGATTCGTTGACGGATTTCGGCTTTTACCTAGGTTTATGCAGAACGACCAAGACAGTCTAGCATGGACACGAAAAAAATACACAGGTGCTAGCGCCTCAAGGAGGATGGAACAGATATACAACCGGATTTACAATTATGAACTCGTAGATTCAATTCAGCTTTAACTCGTGCTCTTTTTAATAATTTACGTTCCTACTAAAAGTTCCACGCACGGTTAGTCCTGACCAGGATAAATACCTCTACAAACCGTTTCCGCAACACGCCCAGGCCAATGGGAAGCGATGCGTGTATGTTCCAGGAGGGTTTATCGTCAATGTAAGGAAAGCGTAAAGTTAGAATAAACGATCAATTTACAGTAACTGTCAATGGAACATTTCAATCGGCTACAGGCGCAATGTTCGAATTCGGCCTCCGTCGTGCAACAGGTAGCCCTGTTCATTGCAGAGCTATTAGCACGAAAAGATTTGAGCCTTTGCAAAATGTAAATTCTAAATTCTGCAAAACTTTCGGTAGCTATTGTTGTGTTTCGTATATTGAAAGAGTCGAACGCCAAACACAGTGAAGAACATCTGCTACCTAGTTTCAATTCCTGATCAACAAATTCTACGACCCTCGCTGCGTTCCAGCAATTAGCTAAAATTTTGTTTGAAATCACGGACATCGAGTGTATCAGTAATGCATGATGAAAAGTAGTGGCATCATCGAGGTGAACGATGGTGTCATACTTTCAATGTCGTGTTCGAAACTATATCACGTAAATTTTAACGCTCTCCATTGCTGACGATGACTCCTTGCTGTTTTTAGGAGACACACACACTCCTAACCGACCTACTCATTAAAGAAGCGATAACACGTAAAACCGTAATGGTGTGTCGTCCGTTACACACGCTCGACAACCAAAACAACTACGAATAACAAAATTACCAACAAAAACAAGCTTTACGAAAAGCTTGGAACGCTGAGATGAAGAGTCGCTCGACAGTTATGCCACCACCTTAAGGTAAAAACATAGACAGAGAATCCCAGCTATGTTGAGATGATTGTAGAGTCACTGTTCTCTCATTTCGAACATGAGAGGAAAACGTAAAAGAGTATGCTTTGATTCTAACCTCTAACAGATATTTCAGCGAGTACTTTCAGCTGAGCAAAGCGCCGCTCCTAGCAGTGGAAGCCAGTCCATGGGAAACGACAAGTTGGACCTGGTCGGCGGAATAGTCGATTGCTTCAATGTTGTCAATCGAAGATCGACGAGCTCAGCAAATCTACAGGGCCAAAGCCGAGAAGATCATCTCCGACAGCCTATCGTCGATGGAAACAACGCTAATTCCTGCATCAGTAAGATTACTTATCGTCATTCTTGTTACAAGTAGAGTACGCTAAGTTGACTATGTCCAATGCGAATTAGTATCGACTATTCTTCGTTCAAACGAAACCATGCCAACTCATAAACTATATTATTTGATTAAATCTGGCGTTACTTTATTTTCTCAAACAAAAACAGTCGTCGCACCTTAGCGCTAAAATGAGACAGTAGTTGTCCTACACAAGCAACGATCGGATAGCATGTAAAACTACAGGTTTAAAAATTTAGGCTTACATCAACAACTTGCCCATCGTACGAGATTGAAGCAGGGACTTTTTTTATATGAAAAAAGACTGACATCAAATGAGTCGTGGTATATGTACTTAGTATACACAAGTTATACGTTGTAACTCATTTATGTAATAAGGAGTGGAAGATGGAACAGTTCTATTTACGTACCAAGTTCATAGCAGGACATAAACAAACAACTTACATAGTTTGTGGATTTTCTTTAGGTCATATAACATATACTTAAAGATAAAAGCAGTGGTTGCGTTACCGCTGAACGTATTCATATTGTTTGCAATACGTTGGAGTAGAGTATCATTTCTATAATTCAACTAGCACCATATGTCAAATCTGCTAACAACAGTTTAGATGGTGCGTTTCAACAAGGCCAAAATGTTCAGCCGAGGTTATCGACATTGCCACGGATGCCATTATATGGAATATGAACACGAAAAAAGGCAAAACATTGCGAAGATAAACTCCGCAAAAACTTGCAGGCTCACATAAAAACGACTAGCTAACGTAAGCTCCTGTATTGTTGCATAAATGCGAAAGGGAATCGCGTAGTACGCCCATTAAGCAAAGACGAACGTTTCGAAATTAGATTTCTTTCAAATTTTATAGTTGAGTCCTACAACAAAACTGGTCGGGAAGCGATCTGGAATACCTTTGGTCCATCAAATCCAGCCCGGGCCGATCAAGTTATTCGCGAATCCACCGACTACAGCACTCAATTAAGCAACGGTAAGAGGACTGTTAATGATTTTTGTCCCATTACCTTAATTACGACAGAGGCAGGACATTTGCCCATCCAGTTGAAATATAGCTTAATCAATGATGGTTGTTAGCGTGTATTTAACCTATTTCGATGTTTGGCCCGTACAGGCTGAATAGGGTAAACCTGAAACATTTTTCATAAGTACGTATTGATTTTTCAACGTTTCAATGAAGTGTCCTTAACAAACTATTAGAATTATTCTAGCTGCCATATGCTTATGTACCTAATTTAATTTCTATGCGATACCGTATCGAGGTCTTTTTTTGAACAATTGTTCTCCAAATTTTGCCGAATTGTATAAACGATGCAATATTAAAATATCTGGACTGGTTAGTATAAAAATTTTCATACATAGTCAACAGATATATTCCTATACAGAGTCGTAAATTTACATTTGGACGAGTAGGGGGTCAGCAGTTCCAAAAGCTGAATAGTTCAGAAAGTCCTTTGTCTCTGGGCCACTCTCAGGATCTGACCTCCCGACGCTCTTCGTTGCAATAGCTACTACCTCAGCAGCCCCAGCCGTAATTAGACAGTTAATTGAAATTGCTCCACATTTAGGTAATATGGCCTGGATACGCATTGGCAATTAGTAACATACGAAAAGTGTGCATGTATAAGATAACGGTACCGAAAAAGGTTAACATTAGGTCAATAGAAAATGATTAGAACTACTGTTGCAATGGCCTCCTATGTATCTTGTATACTACGGCATAACCTGTTATATGCTGTAAAGCAGGGTAACTTTTAATATATACATATTTTTACTTTTAGGTAGAACTCGATTTAAGAACAGGCCATGTTTTGCGTAAAGATCTTATGTTTTTCCACTCAGTCAGATCTGAAAGTTATGGTCATCATCATCAATAGTAAACTTAATAGACTAACGTTTTTATGTTTTCCTTATATTGACTTGATACAGATTCGTCTTACGGCTGCATACATGTTGCCTAGTTTAGTTTGTATCGTGGTTTTCGCAGGCTAAATATAAAATTTTCGTTCCTGACGCAGACGATGGCAGCAAAGCCATGGTTGATCCTTCTCCTGCAAGTGAAACCCGAAGCGTTTCGACCCAATGGGTTTATCAGATGAATCCTTCCGAAAACAATAACGGTCTATTCACGTGGTGGTATCAAATGAAGGGATGCGGTATATCGAATGAGCCAAACGTCACTTCCAAACATCCACAGGCCGACGGCTACGTCAGTTACTGGCACCAAGGTAACAGTAAAAACCGAGATACATTTATGTTGTATAACAAAATAAGATCGGAAAACAAATATCTAAAATAATTGTAGGTTTATAGTGGCTATACAGCATAGTGTATAGAAAAATACCCAAACGACAGACACATGTACGAAGACAATCTTTCAGCACGTTATATTACGAGAACAGAATATAGAAGATCGTATCTAGAGACATGAAAATAATGCTTTTTAACTAAATCATTAAATAGTTCCAATAAATTACTTGAGCAGTTTTACTATAACATAATGTAAGTGTTCACGGAAGACTAGCGTAACACTTTAATACATGGAGCAATTTTTCTGCTTGGTATTCGTATGGATGTGAATGTGTCTACAACATGATGTCGTTGAGGAAGGAACTTTCGCCATGATCATGCCGAGACGATAGAATCTTGAAGGCGCACAAGAGGCTAACATAGCAATCGTTTGTTACCCCCTACACCCCCTAACAAAATAGTTAATGTTGATCAAATCTCACACAGTCAAAGGCAGCAAGCATAATTTCTTCAGTATACTTTGCCCTTTTCATAGAACTTTATACTAGACCCTTGTGGCCCGCAGTTAGAGTGCGAGTTGGTTTAGGAATAGAAGTGATGGTAAACCAAGCTTCTATTGAACATCATGAACCTGCTTAAAAGGTAAACTTGGACCAGGCATACGTCTGATCTGGGCGTATGATTCAAATTAATAGCATTAATTCAAACACGGCAAGAATTAGATTCTGCTCCCGAATAATCCACTGCGGCACCTTTACTTTCGAAATCCAAAAACACTTACTGGAAACGAAAACGACTCAATCCTTCTTTCGGCAAATTCTTATCGGCACAGCTGGATGCAGTTCTTTAAGATTTTTGGGTTGTGCAACGCTATCTTTGGTGACCCAGATATTGTCCATCGTCAATGCTGAGGCGGCTTCCGTGAGAATAGGTGCTTCGTAAATTCTACTTCTAGTTAATTTTCATTTTTGTATATTCTAGCTTTTCAATGAAAGTTCTTGGTGACTATATGAATCTCTTGCTAAATAATTACTATTAAGCGGCCGATATATAAAGTACCGAACGAAGTGAAGATAGTATTGTATAGACCTGATGTTTTACGCCTGTTTCTTTCAAGGGAGGGAATTGGCTTAGCAAACCACATCTGTATAAAATGCTTACCTTACAAATTTGTTGTACATACAAGGACATAAGGTAGTGCAAACTAGCCAACATTTCGTTTTGAACCAAACCCTTAACTTCTGAACAAATTTACTTGGGTAAAAACAATGTAATTGCAATATAATATATATTGTAAATAAACTTTAAACTTTTAAACTTTAACAAATTTACGTAAGGGACAAGAGGGGCTGTTGGCAGTAAATAGGTAGTTGCCATAACAGAAGTTCCCTTACTATTGGTGCAATTTGTGTACATCGTACTGCTTGAAAAAATAACAGAACTGAACTTACGTTCTAAGTAAAGTAATATGTAAAAATGGTATGTTCTCAAAGTTACATTCTGTAAGCATCTCGAGGCGTTACTGGAGTGCATAAACTCGTAAGTGATGTTCGAAAGAAACTTCTCTAGACTTTACTAGAATATGGGTAGATATCAAAAGTCAATGTGGTGGTAATTTGATGATACCGTGTCCCTGAATTTCAAACAGTCCGGTAAGGACCCTACTGGGATTCTCCGAAGTGTTTTCAAAATGGTAACCACTTCGGTGAGCTTTGTGAATTACTTCGGAGCTTCGTCGTCGAGTATGCGTGCATTGTGGAGAACAATAACGCAATCGTTAGATTGGAGGTTAAAGACTTCCCTAGTTTTTGTACGACTTATGAAAACCAATCACACAGTCACCCTGGCTCGAATTGCACCGTCGGGAGGAAACCAAACCTAAATTATGTGGGTATTGTGCAGTTTTATAAGTCTCGTGGATCGGTTGTGGTATGTGTTCGAAGCTGGGCATGCACAACTTCTGCTTTATGCTGGAAGCCAACTGTTTCTTTGATGGAATACCTAACGGCGATACCGCACGTCGAACTACAAAAAAGAAAAGTAGAGGTCTGTTGGACCAATTCCCCGGACAAATCCAACAAGATCTAGCCTGAAACGGAATAATTAGCAGAACATTACATCTAATTATCTACGTAATGGATTGTTTTGTTTTGTGATAGCATCAAAAAAATATCTTTATGCCTTGTCTAAATTGACCCTATCGTCTAAATTGATCCCTATACGATGATTATCTAACACGTGGATGTTTAACCGTTACACGATTAACTAATCATTGTCGTTTTTCAAAAGAGGCCGACCTCTTAGATTGTCTTGCATTTAGTACAATACCGTCAGTATTTAATGCTTCACTTATCTTTTCAATTAGTAAAAATGTATTCCGTTTTTTTCAGCTTCACGTTTTGCCGCACTACTTCAAAGCGCCTCATCATTTATCGATACATTTATCTATGGACCTGGATATTGTCCAACGACTGCTAACATAAACACTTAATTTATTTGAATACCTCGTGAGTTTTACAGGCTGGGAGTCGCAAATGCCAGCTGATACCCAAAACTACCGCGGTATGTTTGCGTCGCATGTGGATGACCAAAGTGCTAACTACGGGTTCTTCCAGTCACATCTTGAAACAACGGAACGTCTTCCCGCATTTAAAGTTCTGGTTCAACAAGCTTACAATCCAAACGCTATGTCATCGTGGGGTTATGATGCGGCTTGCACTGGTGAAACTAATATCCATCATAGATTCAGCAGCGAATCGATCTACGACGATTTAAAGTTTCCAAGCCAGCTCTACAGTTATGATGAAACAAGCTACTGGTGTAAGCCAATTAACGGTAATGATCTTAAATCCAAACTGTATTTTATTTCATAGACTCGGACCGCTGGTTCCTCTAAAGCGCTGTAATAATTTATTACTTTGATCGCTTCGTGTAGGTTAGCTTTCTTCGAAGAGAGAATTCTACGATGAACACCTCATCCGTATTAGTACTTACTTCCACGTCTGAAAAATTAAGAAAAACTCTCCCAAGAAACTGTCGGACACGTTTCGTGGAGCAATTCGTGCTAAGATATACTAACAGCTTTAAGTGTTCAGACCAGAGGTTTCCGTCGTGGTAACGCATTGTTTACTACATTAAAGGACACGTGATAGCCTGGGTTAGAAGCCGAGCATAGACACGCTTTAAAAATCACGCAATATTTAGGAGCTTAAGCACCGAACGTAAAACCCGAAACGTTTCTTAGAAGAAGTTCTTCAGCTATTTTGGGTATATGCTTTACGATGAACGGAAGCCCACGTAGTTGATACCTCACAGTGCCTTAACCTATCTAATCTATTGAGGCTATCCCATAGACTCTATTAGAGCTAAGCTTTGTCGTTGTCAACACATAGATTAAATGGCATCATCAACTTGGTCCCGGTGCTATATACTATAGACTAAAAAAATTCGATTCAACGACGAACATAGCTTCGCGCGTGTCCATTAACAAAAGATTCGTACACAGTAAAAAGTACAACTTCTCCGTTTTTGGTCTCATCTTCGTTCCTGTAATAGTGGAGTGGTAAGGAATTTACCCACTACCGAGTGTAGATATGCATCGTTTCATGTAGGACCAGCCGCCTAAAGCACTGTTTAGCTATATAGGTTTAGAGTTTTACACGCGGCACTCCATTAAGTATTGCTTCAGACTAAGGTAACAATGAACTTGACACTGGAAACATTTATTGCTGCGTTAAAGGCCATATACCGTGTGTCGTCTAAAACTAATTCCCGGATCCCGGATTCACAGTTTGCTGCACTCGAGTATCATATCTGGCCGGACTTAACTAGAAAAGCGTTCTCCAGCATTGGATGAAGAGTCCAAGACTCAGATACAGACTGTTACACTGTCCAGTTTGTCTGAAACAAAGTAACTTGTTTCTTTCAAGATCTATATACCTACGCATGTGCTATAACTTAATTATGTATGCGCAAGTTCATAAGTTTTATAATTCGTAAATTCGACTTCGATTTGTACCACAATTCCTAAGGGATCGCCGAGGATTTTCAAACAACATTGATACATATTCAAGTCTGCAACAACTTTTACTTCAGCATCAGATGTTCCAACGGAATAACATGCTAACTATGTCGTAAACGTTTTATTCATTTCGAGAACAATAAGAAAACATGACAGAGTTTGCCGTCACTAAAGGACTACGTCGTGTCGTAGTAATTTGCAGACAGGACGCCCTCAAGCTCTTCGTTCCAGCAATACGAGGTCACTGATGTTGGGCGAGGCAACAAGCTTGATACGTACTGCAATTTAGATTTGGCTTCACTAGAAAAGATACAAGCCACTTCTGGTTCGGAAATATGCGCGGCTCAACGAAATGCTTCTGCTAGTAATTCTACTTTTTCTTGGAATCACAACCGGTACAGCGATATCAATGGGTCGTTTTACGAAGATCACAAAATAAGTACAGCTTCCGTGAACTTGAACGATCTGGCCAACCAAGCCCCATTTACAGATGACGTCCTCAACAGCAATGACGTTCAACAAAACTTAAGTAAGCTGACTAAAATCCTGAAATTGATCTTTCAGTGCAAAGTTGCACACTCCTATATTCATATAAAACTATAAATTTAAACTTATATTACATTATATTGACAGGATTGAATAGAATTACGTGTGTAATCTTTATTTTATTTAAGTGTCCTATAATATAAATAGTACTTAGGAGACCTGCGTCTTTCAACTTTTTCTCGATTTTATGTTCAAGGCGCCGGCTCATGGGCTGATTTAATAATTTATTTGTCCAGAAGAAATATTACGAAGTGCTTTTGATATCTAATAAACTTAACTAATTACTCATTTCAATTAGCTTCGCAAATAATTATTAGAAAACAAAGAGTAGTGGTCTTGATGTGTTTGAAATTACATAATTAATAATTTCGTAATAAATTAAGGACTAACTATGGTTTAAGAGGTGATTGCTTGTTTTGCTTTTTACACAGAAATGTATAGGTCTCTAGCTGGCCTCAATTACTATAGGAACTACACAATCAACTGCGGGTGCGATGCAATTAACATAACATACACCTATATCAAGCCACATCTAAATTGCATATGGAAGCATCATTTCGTATTTAGGTCATAGTTAAGCAAGGCCTCGTGAATTGGATATGGCTGAGGTCTAAAATAGCCTTTGTTTTCGTAGGACGTTATCTTATATTACGAGAGTTCTGTAAAGTTTTACACACAAGTCACTAACAGATCGTTCCGAAAGAAAATACTCTATCTAAGCGTTTGAAACGAATACGTTCTTACCGCATAGTACGAAAGATGATATATAAAATAGGATACAAGTGGTTTCTTCATTAAAAAGGTTCAGAAGTAAAGAAAAACTTTTAGATGTGTTTGGCATAATTTTTACCAGGCATGTTGGTTATAGCATAGTTTTCTCATCAAATCCGAAGGTAGTAAAGATCGCTGAAGTCGTTTTGAAGGTGATCGCAATATACATTGTATACGTCTGCATCTTTGCTCGTATAAGCCTGTAGGTCAGGAGAGGATTTGATAGGAAATGACGTTCAATTCTCGTTCACAACCGCTAACAAGGAGTGGATTATCTTTTTTCGTTTAAATATTATTGATTATCAAATTGGAATTTGGGGTTTAGCTCATATTATAATCATTATGCCGCAGTGTCATAACAACCATGAAGGGGCTAAAAAAAAAAGCAAAAAAATCAATTTTTAAACATATGTCTGTAAAAACTAGGCGGTCTGTATCGGCACCAGTCAATAGGCGGGCCGAGCGTTTTACAGTTAATAATTTATTGTATTCGATAATTTTACAATCACAACAGTAGTTATGTTGGTTGATTGATTGCAGGTTTACGGTTTAACAGCTGCAATGAAGAAAATGCATTACCGACGACGTCCTCGATCAAACCATCTCGCTGCGTTTGTCAGAAACCGTGTGAGTCATACGACGTAGTTTTAGCCCCGTGTACGTATATGCAGACTGATGCGTCTCTTGACACCGGTTTTACCAATAGCTGTGGTCGACACCATCCCTTGGCTGGACGTAAAAAAATACGCACTGACGAAAAACGATTTCCTTGTGATCAGTGTCCAGAAAGGTTTATATCGTTATATAAATTGAAAAGGCATAAAAGAATACATACCGGAGAAAAACCATTTTCTTGTGAACAGTGTCCAAAAATGTTTAGATCGCAAGCTTCCTTGAATTGCCATAAAAAAATACATACCAGAGAAAAACCATTTTCTTGTGAACAGTGTCCAAAAATGTTTAGATGGCCAAGTTCCTTGAGTTGCCATAAAAAAATACATACCAGAGAAAAACCATTTTCTTGTGAACAGTGTCCAAAAATGTTTAGATGGCCAAGTTCCTTGAGTTGCCATAAAAAAATACATAACGGAGAAAAACTATTTTCTTGTGATCAGTGTCCAAAAATGTTTACATGGCCAACTTCCTTGAGTAACCATAAAAGAACACATACTGGAGACCGACTATTTTCTCGTAATCAGTGTCCAAAAAGGGCTTAGCGTTTCATCTTCTTTGGTAATGCATAAAAGCATTAACACTAGCAAAAAACAATTCACTAGTAATTCACAATGTAAAGATTTTTAATTAATTTCGTTAAAAATACACAAGCTCAAATATCTGCGAGACACTGTTCGTGTATCACCAGTATGGTAAACTAATGCATTCAGTCACTGAATGACATCAGCGACCATTGGCTTTGACAATAACGATGTTGATCTCCATTAATCGCAGGGGAAGAACACCGACGATAGGTAGTAACACTGCCATGATATATTGGTTTCGCCTATATTTGACTAAGAAATTTTTATCGTGATATCGCCAACATTTTAAACCTATTTCATTAAAGGCTTCAGCAAAAGTAAATCTACTTGCCGAACACTTGGATAACCCTCCTCTTCCTTTACGTACCTCTCGGCAGCTGAAGTAAGCCTTCGAATAATCTCCATTTAAGTACTGTTTTCTCTGTAAACTGTAAAGAGATTTTAAGGTTGTTCAGGCGCCCGAATTTGAAATGCAATTACACTTCTGAGCCAGAGCGGCCTACTTTAAAACAAATGATTTTTTTAAACGAGCTGCCTAATTTACTTGGGCAAGTATAGCCACGACTGCCTATGGGATATGTCGTAAGACTAATGTTTTATATTCAAACTTGTATTCCATTGCTTTGTAGGCTGTAAAAACAGTTACTAACTAACATTTTATATATATCCGATATAGTAGATCATGGTCGGTTACGATCAAGGATGAAATACCTAGGTATTTATCAGATTATCCTAACATGATTCCGCTCCTATTTATCAAGTCTGAGTTGAAAACACAGCAAATCTGTCTTGAGAAAAGCTACGTTCTTTGCTCTTGTTTATTTCAAACATCAATTGACGCTTACCACAGGATGGAAGACACGTTAAATACGGTGACGATTTTAAACTTTACTGTGCAATTACTAATTAACGTTTCTAATAAATACTGCGACCCGTCGTAAACGGCATTGTATGTCAGTGTCATGAAAATAAGATAATTTTCTTTTAAGTTTCACCGATGAACAGAAAAGTCATAGTATTTCGCTCCCTTATGGTGCTATCACGGTACAGATGACCATTTCAATTGATTTGAATGAAAGCAGCTAGTTTAGCCAAATTTTAGAAAATAAGATTTTTTAGCATAAGAGATGCCGATGTTTATGCTCTAAACCAATTGTTTTTTTTTTTTTTTTTTTTGTATTTTTTTGTATTTTTCGTTAATCTAAGCCTCCTACCCAAACGAGCACATGCTTATCGAAAGCGCTGTACGCCCGAATAAAACGAAGTGTGCTCGTATCTATTGTTTCGCTCCTGAAATATACGTACACTTGAAAAAAACTTAATTTCGAATAACAGTTTTTGTTTTTTTTTTATTATTAGGCTAGGTCAGCCTGGATCTCATTTACCCAAGACAATGGTTTGAACTTACATGTATGTTTATAATGTAAAGAAGATGTCTACAGGAATGTACGAGAGGGGTACTCTAGCCCTCTTATACGCAGTGTTTTGGACGTTAGAGATGAACAATTCATGAGTTGCTACGCCTCTACAACTGCAAATTCTTTCATTCAAATAGAAGTGTGTTAGGATCTTGAGTTATCTACATGCCAACATCACTGCAGTCAAACCACAATTATGTTTATAGTAGTCGATTTCATATCCGATAATATAATGTACAGACGTCACTTTTGCGCGGCCTTCTGCTACTATCACAGTCAAATTACTCAGGTCTCTTATTAGAATAGCGTTTCATAATTGACTGGACATTGTGCGACGGGAACGACGCCCGCTACCACCGGTTTCAGTTTGTCCTGATCTTCCTATGACAAGCCTACTGACAACTGGATTACGGTTGCCGAACGCACATGCTGTTTCAACAACATGACCATGTTTCGTAGTCTCCAGTAATAACCAAAAGATATTTCGTATTTCTTTTCGCAGCTCACGCGCTATTTATATTGCACCGGTACTACAATAGGTACAAATCCCTAGCCCAGCTTTCTCAACACGACCGCTCCGTCGTCTTCATACCGACCTACTGCTATTGAATGGGTCTATAAGTTCATCGTTTAGTATGCTAACGGGATTTCAGATCGGTCTTCATCGTGTTGCTTCGCCCCGAGTGCTCTGACCAGTGTGGCCAACCTACTTTATTGACGATCAGCTAGCGGAGCTGGCTGTTTAAAAGAAGACGGGAGCACCTTGTTATTTGTTTGCCGTCGAGCTACGTTTAGCGCACTAACGATTCCGCCCTTTTTCTCAGCACCTCAACCTTCAATGGTCCAAGCATCGTTTTCACGAGGCATCGCAGGCCCCTGCCTCATATTGCGATCTATCTCATGATGCGCGGCCTAAAAATTGTTATGCAAAACCTAGATCGCTCCTGTTTAGGCCAGTATCCGAAGACAAGTATTTAACGCATGAAACCCCTAGCCTCACAAGCTGCCTCCACTCATCTACAAATTTAAGATTACATGATATATAGTTTTGTGATTGCCTGAAGACAAGCAGCCGTCGCCGCCGCTGGGAGCTGTTCTCTGCCTTTTTAGTTAGTTAGGTCGTAGCGACAGCCAATTAATCCGCTCACACAGATTTTAAAGCTTTATTCACTTTCCCAAAACACTGTTTCATAGACTAAACATGCACAAAACTAGCGCTTACGCCATCTAGGTCTCCAATCATTCAAGCAGGGTAGCTCGAAGGATACCCAATATCAAGTACCGTGCGGTAGAAGATACGTATTGTTCTTATTGTATGTCATGCGCAAAAATTCAGTTTCACTTTCTCATACCCTTATCTCAGTTTACCTAATTGTATGATTATTTTCCTAAAACTTATACATCTTGAAACGTTTGTTGCCCACATGCCCTAAAAATAAGAAGAGAATTCAAGCAGATTTGTCTTTTACTTGAATAGACTTAGCACTTACATATGTCACGACCACGAATGATATGAGTCAAGTCCAGTAAGAGGAGCAAATTACTAGAAATCAACCATATTCTTGAGGTGTATTTTAGTAAGGTTGATCCTTACAAAGGGTGGTTGCGAAGGGCAAGTGGTGAGGTCGTTCGCTCGCCTATGCAGCTGACACATTCTTCCTGCATTTTTCCGTGACGTTCGCAGTAAGACGAAAAAGGGCGACCACAGCTACGCAAGCCGGTTTACATAAATAATGGGCGACCTAGCGAGGTACAAGATGTCTGTAGTCCTGTCTCTCCTTTTGAACTTCATCGCCTCTGTCTTAGTCATGTCTACGGTCAGTCCTGAACCGGAGCTGACCTTACTACGATCAACTTTCTTCACAGTAAGAACCTATTCCACCCGTATATCACTAAGTCCCCCGCATATAAAAGAATTTCGACTGACCTTCTCGACCTTCTTACTTAATTAAAGAGGCCCGTTTGCAAATTGGAGAATAAGAATGAGATTAGGTTGTCTACCTAGACCACAGCAGTTGTCTGTCTGAAAGGCGTAAGTTCAACCAGTGCGTCGGTTCTTCTGGGATGGCGTGTACGCTCTCTAAGTAGCTGTCCGGTCTCTTAGCTAGCAAGCTGGAGAACAGCTTACAGCAAACACCTTTATTTGTTAGTCCCCACAATAATGACAGCACGTTCTTTGGAAATCACTAATAGGATAGCGCCTTTCCATTATGTTGGGGGTGTATCAGTATGTAAATATTAAGTGATACCGTCTAGCACGGTGCCAGAATGATGGCCCATTCAAAATGTTCATTACAAACCTTATCTGGTCTGGCGATATTGCGTTGCATTGAGATTTCCTACGCTGTAGCGAAAGAAGGCACCATATGTAGTATTCTATCTCTTGACGTAAACATCTCCGAGGAGTGATTTATGAGGGATGAAAAGCTAATCAAGGAACCTGCCGAACTATAGTGGTGCTCTAGTCACTTGTATGGTTGACGTTCTGTATCAGCGATAAAAGAGGTTTCCAGATACGGCTGGCCTTGTAACGCAATCGTTTTCGACGGATCGTCTTAGCCTGTGCCTTAACCTGAAGGGCATCTGTGTTCCTTGCCAACTTTAATCAACAATCTGCTTCTTGAGGCCACATTCGTGTATTTCTCGTATTATTCGTAAATTTCTCGAAAACTCCTACAAAGGTGTTCCCCTTAGAGAACCATAGCAACCACTTAATATTTATTTATTACATTATTTATTTAAATAAGTAGTTTCTCTTGTCTCCACCAAATGGCTGTCATACGAATCGCATTATAATTTGGCGGAAATTATAATACGATACAGATAAACACTTATTAATAATCAAAAATAAAGAGAAATTAAGAAACTAATTATCGAGAAATAAGAATTGTACGGCAGCGTATGCTTCTACTGTTGTCGGCATTATTTGGGGCCTTTCTATTCTATTATAAAAACAAACATGTATTAGCAATTAGTGTTACGGTTCGTATAATGACTCTCTTCTCAAACTCGACTTCGTTTACATTTCCTGTCATGCAGCTGTTTCCCAGTGACAGGCGTTACCTTAATTCTTCATTGAAACCCTGCCATTAAGATGCTGCGCTCCACGATAGTATATTCTTCAATTTTTTATATTATAGTATTATAAATTATAGCATTCATCACATATTTCAATGTTCAATATGTTATTAGATATAATTTCCAAACCCTCGAGTCTTCTTCACGTACCTCTAAATGCCATCAATCGCTCCGGCGATGAAGCCGCTATCAAACCCCGACGAGTAATAGCGCTTATTTTGAAAATAACTCTAGGACAGATAGGAAATTTGTGCGTCACATGTCTAGATTCACAGTTGTAATGTCCATTACTCAACATTATTACAGGTCTCGAAAGATAGATAATTAACTCGGAATCTGCAATAATTCTCTAGGACAAAATTTCGAAGATCGACATATAAATTGCCTTTTATACTGTATAGCTAGTTTCCATATAGGTTTGTTGAGGTAGAAAGATTTCATTGTGTTGTAAATTCGTTCTTTATTGATTAACCTAGAAAGTGTCTAAATGATTTAATTATCAGTAAATATAAAATTAAACAGAGCGAAAATTAGGTTATATTTCTGTGCTTTATTTATTTAAAGTTAGGTTATAAAGCTGTGATCCTATGCAACTAACATTCACCGAAGTCTCATCCAACGAAACTCCACAGTCATCGATCGCATAGTCTGCACAAGACCGTGACCATACTAGAATGGCGCGAAAAAACAGAAATTAAAAATGATAACGGTTCATACTTCAAGTGATAAGATTATTGATATTCAGCTTAATGAACTCGGTTCGAATTTACAAAATAGCGCACCGTGTAGCAATGGCTATGGGGAAAAACTCCATCAGTAACAGTGGAAGGAATTATTTTCAAACAGTGCTCGTGTCTTCTCTATCTGAAGTGTTTGAGTACAACTTCTTTTATGCGTTTCAGTGCTTCTGATGCACTGATCTATATCAACACTACAAGATCAATCTCATCTTAAACGTTTGCCTAGGAGCTTTGAGAGTATACGATTTGTATTGTGGTAGCGTTTGGTGCTTGAATTTAGGATAGTAGTCCAGCTGATCGTGTGCGAATAGCTGAAGTCGTGTCCTACTCATGTTCGTTAAACGCTGTTTGCGCTTAAGGTCGCAGTGTATTAGGATCCTAAATAACTTTTAACATTTCCGTATCGCACTGCTTAATATGTTCACTTGGCGTTAGGGAAATGTATGTCTAAGTATATATTGTATTTATCAAGTTGTTTGTGAGCGGCTCAACTTGTACCCTACTGAAAATCGACAAATCGAGGATGTCAAGTACCCCAGAAGATTTTTTTTCCCCCAGTAGATGTACGTGAGTGTATTGTTATTTATAGTATATTATTGTCGTATCACATTGCTATGTCAAATACTTTGGCCGGGGCACATTTGATTGACTTGGCTCCCACCTATGAAGGAAG